TGCCACGATCTAAAATCTCGTATCTAAACTTTTCCTCTTTATCTGATCCCTACTCACGGATCTAAACTAATCTCTCCACCTGATCCATACTCTCGGACCTAAAACTAACCTCTTGGTCTAATCCATACTCCCAGATCTAAACTAATCTCTTGGTTTGATCCATACTCCCGGATCTAAAACTGTGCCCAATCCATACTCCCGGACTAGGGACAATTTTCTATGTCTTAATCCATACTCCCGGATTAATGATAAGTTTACCTATTGGTCTGATCCATACTCCCGGATCTAAAACTGTGCCCAATCCATACTCCCGGACTAGGGACAATTTACTATGTCTTAATCCATACTCCCGAATTAATAACAAGTTTATCTCTTTTCCTATTCCATATTCTCGGATCTAAATCCAATCTCTTTATCTAATCCATACTCACGGATCTAAAACTAATCTCTTGATCTGATCCATACTCACAGATCTCATCTACCCATGTCCTACCCAACATATTCGTAGATACAATATATATATATATATATATATATATATATATATATATAATATATATATATACAGTTTAACTCATTAAAACCTATATAGTTCATCCATTCCATACTCAATCTCAAATAAACAAACAATATGTAAACACATAGCACGTATTTCATAACAAATACTTAATATTTATGTGTTAGAAGAATGTGACCACACACTCACCCAAAACATATACTTAATACATTCAAACAATACTTGTATTATAATTGTGTTTATGAAAGGGACTATACACTCACTTGATCAGAAGATGATCGGACAGCACTACGACTTTTAGAAGTAGTATTCTTCGGTGAAACCGGGATCACTTCACACACCTAGTTTCTCGCGGGCAGAGCTTCGGCTCGGAAACTCTTTTCTTCTCGGGATCTTCGGGCTTTGGGACTTGCTTCAGGTCTCGGGGTTGATACCGGGGCTTCGGGGGGTTAAAATATGGCTTAGAGGGTGTATCGGGAGTGGGAGAGAAGGGATGGAGCAACCATAGTCGGCTGGCCCTTCAAATCTATTTATAGGGCAAATTTGGCCCTTGCCATGTCGTGGGATCCTTTTGCCACGTCGTGGGCTTGATCATCACTGCATGAGTCATCCCAAGTTGCATCTGGGGGACTCCCGGAGCTGTCAGGAGATTTTCCACGTGGTGGCACTACTTGCCATGTCGTGATCTCTGACAGTTTGGGGTTTCGCGCCCCGAGCTTCAGAAATTCATAACTTTCGCATATGAACTCCGTTTTCAACGTTCTTTATATCGACGCGAAGGTGAGATTATGCTATACAACTCTCTTTTAGACTCCATTGGCTAATTTTGACTTTATTTTTAATATATTATAAGTATATTACTTATATATTATCTATAGTAGGCCGGGACAGGAAAACTCCATTCGAAATTCATAACTCCTTCATCTGAACTCTGTTTTCGTTTGTATTTTTATCGTTGGACTACTATCGAATAAATATTCAAATCTTGTTTAGATCACTAAGGATAGATATCTATCTATCTTAAGTTCACTATTTACGTCGTGCTGGGTCGTGCCGGTTCTGTCGCGAAACTTCAACAGGTCATAACTTCTTCGTTATAACTCGGATTTTGGCGTTCTTTATATGCACGGAAACCTTGTGACATATACTAAAACTTGGTTAAGATTAATCCTTCTAAATAATATTCCATCAAAAATTCATTTTTTGATGCTTATCGTCTTTAAATTGACTAGCCCGGATCTACGGGCGTTACATAAACCCTAGTGTACTGTCGACTTTGTATGTAAAGTATAACATTTGTATTAATATTATTGAACATTTATACTCAAAATATAAATAAAGTGTTTGATATTTATATAACATGTTTTATTTCAAAAGGACAAAGTGTTATCGTGATATGTTGCCTGAAAACGTGTTCGTATGATAGTTAAAAATCATATATAATTGAGTATATAACAAAGAGTATAGCAAAAGATTGATGTTTTTCACACGAGGATAACCATGTGTTTACTTGTATTCCCCCTCCCCCTAAAAGTGTATAAAAGCATTTACAAAGCATTTGAAAACGTATTTGTAGGGGTATGAACTCACCTGATAGATTGAAGAAGGTGAGATGAAAACCGAGCAGAACTCTGACCAGAGAAAGTTGATTTCTCGGGATTCTCGGGAATCTCGGATATGTAAGACCTTCCTTTGGAACTCGGATGTGAAGACCAGGGCTTCGGGATGGCTTCAGGGGTTAAAACACAGAGCTTTGGCACGTGAAAGAAGAGAATTGAGCACCTAAACCCGAAACCATCAGTTTCTATTTATAGGGGTGAATTTTGAGGGTTCACATCGTGAGCTCGGCATGGTCTTCTCCCGTAGACTTGGAAACTCGTTGATAGGCTCTAGAATCCATTAGTCACAGGTTCATGTCGTGAACCTCTGGTTCATGTCGTGAGCTGCCTGACAGTCTCGAGTTTTGTGTCTCGAACTTGTAAAATCCGTAACTTCCGCGTACGAGCTCCATTTTCAACGTTCTTTATATCCACGCATAGTTCAGATTATACTCTACAAATCTTGTTTAGACTCTGTCGGCTAATTTTGATTTATTTTTAATATTATATTTTTAACAGGACGTGATAGGAAAAGTCCGTTAAAAATCCATAACTTCTTCATCCGGTGTCCGTTATCATCAGATGTTTTACCGTTGCACTAATATTGTTAAGATCTTCGATTCTCATTTAGGTTGTTTCATCCAAAAATCCATCGATCTCTATTTCGAGTTTTTAGCTGTCTACTGTTATCCCGAAACTTTGAAAAATCATAACTTCCTCATACGAAGTCGGATTTCGACGTTCTGTTTATGCACGTTCACAGTTTAGTATAATCTACGACTTTCGTTTGGATACCTAAGACTAAAAAGTATTTTATTGAAATTTCACTTTTTACATTTGTCAGTGTTTTACCGGTTTTGACACGAATTTTCAATTGGTTATAACTTTTTTGTTATAACTCGGATTTTAGTGTTCTTTATATTTCTGAAACCCTTACCACGATATCTATCATTTATGCAATCCAGTAGAGACTTTTGAACATTTTGTTTTTGATGCTAATTTCATTATATCAAAAGAGATTACAATTCTTGACTTTTTAGGTCATTACATTGATTCGAAACATCGGGTTGTCACATCATCCCCCCGTTAGAGATAATTTCGTCCCGAAATTAGAGTTTAAGTAGAATTGATAACTATGCTACAAATAGAAGTTTCACTTGATCCTCGCATTCCTAAGTGAATTTAGGTCCGCGCATGGCATTCCAACGAACCTTTCACTATCGGGATACGACTTTGCTTCGTTCGTTGAACTCGTTGGTATGATAACTCATGGTCATATATGTGTGAGTGTTTTTGTGGTTTGTGAACATAGTAATCTTTGCACTACACAAGTAGTCTCTCCATATCTTAAGAGCAAATACCACTGCTCTTAACTCAAGATCGTGTATCGTGTAGTTGACTTCGTGTGTCTTAAGCTGACGGGAGGCATATGCAATAGCCATTCCTCTTTGTATAAGAATGCAACCAAGTCCTTGGATTGGATGCATCGCAATACATAACAAAATCTTTTATCCCTTCGGGGAGGGATAGTATCAATGCGGTGCACAAGGCTTGTTTCAGTGTTTGGAATGCCTTTTCTTGTTTCTCTTCCCAGTCAAAGGCCACGCCTTTCTGGGTCAATGTTGTAAGTGGCTCCGTGATTCTTGAGACGTCCTGAATAACCTATGATAGTATTCAGCAAGGCCTAAGAATTTGACGAGTTTTGGTAGATGTTGACAATGCTCCTCCTTACTACGAGAGTAGATAAGTATGTCATTGATGAAGACAATGTTGAACTGTTCTAAGTGAGGATGGCACACCCTATTCATTAGATCCATAAATATTGCTAGTGCGTTGGTTAATCTGAACGACATCACTACAAACTCGTAGTGTCCATAACGAGTTCGAAAGGCTGTCTTGGGGATATCCTCCTCTAGCACTCAAACTAGGGATACCTGGATCTTAGATCTATCTACGAGAAGTAGTTCATTCCTTGAAGTTGATCAAATAAGTCATCAATGCGGGGTAGAGGATAACGACTCTTGACGGTAAGTTTGTTCAGCTCTTTGTAGTCGATGCACATACGAAACGATCCATCTTTCTTCTTCACGAACAAGACTGGTGCTCCCAATGGTGAGAAGCTTGGTCTAATAATTCCCTTTATGAGAAATTCGTTAAGCTGACTGGAAAGTTCCTACATCTCAGCCGGTGCTAGACGATAAGGTGATTTGGCTGCTGGGGTAGCCCCTAGAACTAAGTTGCGTACTTCTGGGTAGTTCTTCTGGAAAAATGTCTGGAAAGTCGCGTACTTCTGGGATGTTCTTAATGTCTTTCACTTCTTGGCTCGTATTGACGATGTGTGTAAGGAATGCATGATATTCCTTTCGTAAGCACTTCTGATCCATCTGCACCTCTTGTCCTGATCGGTAGGAAGGGCATTAGTTTGGCTTTCAAGTTTATTCGCGCGGCGGCACGATCACTCGTAGTCTTGAGCAGTCTCCGTCTTGAAGTTCATAGTAGAACTCATACCTGGATCATCAATCACAGTCTCGGGTATACGAGTTGTATATAATTAAGATTGAAAAGGCCGTCGAATAAATGATTCTTCTCTAAGCTCACATCCAAACAAGGAAAAGAAGTTAAAGCGGAATCATCAATGCTAAACCTGTAGAACCTTGATTATGTACCACCCTAAGCCTTATAGAAGCACGAGAATCAAAGAAAACATCAATACTATATTGCTCTTTGAATTTTGAAGAAAAATGTTTGAATAAGACTTCATCAAAATCTCTACCTCCCAAGTTTTGATCAAAAGAATGGGACAATATTGTCATTTTCCCTTTTTCAAAAGCAACAACCGTCACTTGAGTGTCCGAGTGGCCAATGTCTACAAATATAACATTAGTTCATTTTTTGTTGGAGAAATCAATCTTGTATATACCATACCCTAATGCAATTGCAGTACAATCATGCATCAATTTCAAAGGTCTTAATCCAACAATATATGCAGCATCAAGGTATTCACGCCTTTGAAAGTCTGTAAAATATGATGGAATTCCAATCACGCAATCTACAACGGGGGACCCAATATCCTTCTCTATCACTTTCTTCAGATGTGCGAATAGCATCCCTAAAATCTCCACAGGCCTAAAGATCCATATCTTACTCAAGTACGTTAAATGTATCACAATACCACCATGAGAGCCCTCACTGGTTTCAAAGGTGTTCCTGAACACTTGGATCATTATAGAGATTTCCAATCAATCTCTTAATCTGAGAAATAGTAGATTTAGGATTTGTAGAAGCAAATGCAGCCCCTGCAGAACCTAAAAATCTTTGCTTCTCACCAAATGACACCACAGCAGGCGTCTCGCGCTTTGATTCATCATTCAATAACACATCAACACCACCACGCTTTGCAACTGCTATAGCACAGTTCTCATTCCCAATATCAAGTCCAACTACGCTCATTCTAAATACTCAAAGAAGCCACAAGTATAATCTTTGGAAAACAAGCACTGATTATGATCCTCACCAACACCTAATTAATACAAATAAACAATCAGTTCATAATCACTTTCAAATCAACTTGCAGGATAACAATGTTCAATAATTCTTTTATGAACTTGATTTTAGATTTTTTTTTGTTTAAGATTTTCCGTTTAGTAATCAACATTCTTAAACTAGAGCAAAATTTTTACAGTACACAAACCATCAGGACGCGTAAACATTTAGATCGTTTGTAGGCAAAATAAAATATAATGATCGAAATATGAACATCAAATAAAATCAAATGTATGAGTTAAGATGAAGGACTCGACGTTTACCTGATTTACCTGATTCAATCAAGCGTGAGTTTTTTGTGTAAAATGTGTAGAAACTTTAAGTACTCGTAGAAAGGAAGTTGAGTAGTCCTATGAAATACTTCATTGTTTTGAATTTAAATCATCATGCTCATTAATTATCACTTAAAATGCTTAGAGTAACAACCTAAAAAAGCGAACTGAATAGACAGACAACAACAAGAGACGGCAAAAAGCTGAAACGACACCTTCATAGCATGTGGAAATAAAATTATAAATGGATTTAGGGGGTGTTTAGCTTAGCTTTTTAGCTTTTTACAGCCAAAAGTCTTTTATAAAAAAGAAAAAAAAGCAAAAGATGTTTGGTAAACTAGTTTTAAAAAGCTACTTTTGGAGTTTTTATACAAGGAAAATCAACTTTTTGAAAAAGTCATGAAATCCTGACTTTTTGTAACTTTTCTAAAAAAAGAACTTTTGGGGTTTGAGAAGCTAAGCCAAACACCCCCTTAGAGCTTTGTGTACAAGTTTTCAAACCCATTTTAATTAAATGGATCACCACACCATAGGAAAAAAAAAAGTAAGGTTAAATTTGATAGTTTCAACTAGGGATGAAAATTTGGTCTGGAAACCTAAACTGAACGAAACCCAAAACGAATTAAGCCTGAACAAGCAATTCGATTTGGTTATCGGGTATGTATGTTAAGTTTATTCGGTTCTCGGGTTATTCTGTAACACCTGTGTTTTCAGGTATTTCATTTATGGCTCAAATGTATAAAAATGTTACAACTTCAGTCCTTACGTAGGGCATACCCAATAGGTACGTTGAGCGTAAACCTTTTAAGAGGGGGGTAAGTTTTATCCGGTACGCTGGACGTACTTGTTTAAACCTTAAACCCTAAATTTGAGGGTTTAACCCATATTCAAAGGACCTTATGCCCTCTAAGTCTCCATTACCACCAACCTACATCCCCTTGAGCTTAAAGATTGAAACCCTAATTCCTTAGAGCAATTTTGAGCCTTTTTGGTGTGTTTTTGTATACTTTGAAGAAGGAAAAAGTTGAGCTTGAAGAGATGTTGAAGCCAAGCTTGTAGATCCATAATTTCTATCACATTTCTCAACTTCAGGATGTATAAAGTTCGAATCTTGCTCATCTATATGATAAATCTCATTAGATCTTGTTTTTTCTCAATATTTTGTCCCAAAACTTTATGTCTAATGAGTAGAAGTTACCCCAGACCTTAGGAAAACTAGTTTTTGTTATTTAGTCATAAAAATGGATTCTTACTACTTTTCTTTCATACAAAGGATTTTGGTCATTAAGTGAGGTTAGAAAGTTAGGGTTTTAGTTGGTACTCCCTAAGGCCATGCATGGGCATACCATCATCAACTTTAAGATTCAGAATGTTCATTAGGATTAGATCTGAGCACTTGATAACTTGCCTTCAAGAGTTAAAAGCTTAATACGGAAAGAACATATCAGCCCATTACACGAGGTGTAATATGAGCTACGCCCAACGTAGCGCATGAGTGGCCCGTAGTTTTTGTTTAATTGAGCTCTATGCCTAACGTAGAATAGGGAACGCAATGCATATGCCCCCTATGTTTGACCATTGATTTTTCTTTGACTAGTTGGGCCGAGGACTTGAAAGGGTAAAATGGTCTTTTGCCCAATTAAGAGCTTACTTTAGTTTTGGGACCAATGAAGTAGGAGATTTTCTTGTTTCCTAGTTTGGTTATGTTCAGTAGGAGAGCCTTTAGCTCCAGCAGCCCGAGAGTAGTAGGATCTATTCATTGACCGATTGAGGTGAGTCCTTTCACTGTACTCATGGGTCGAAGGCACCAATGCCAGCCCATTGGATTATATTTGTAGGATGATAGTTGTCTTTGTGACATTTGTTGATATGCATGTATGTGCTTGTTTGTCCTTGTGACTCTTGCTTATATGATTGTATGCTTAGCTGTAGAAGGTGAAATAGACTCAATACCAGTCGAAAGAGGCCAAATAGGGGGGGGGGGGGGGGTTGAAATAGATCTAATTTAGTTTTGTACTGTTATGTATGTATGTTATGAGGTATTTTGGGGGAACTCACTTACCTTTGTGCTTACAATTTTATGTTTATGGTTTCAGATACTTCAAGTTCGAAAGGGAAGGGGCCGACATGATCGCACCGCATCCACCAACATTCAACATTTTATGACATGATTTGTACTCTGATAACTATTTTATACATTATAACGTTTTGATGAGTTTTGAAATGAATGAATGATGTTTCTATTGGTTTTTAAAATGAAATTTTTACTTGGTAATTTTTGGGACGTTACATATTCGATCCGAGTTACCCAAATAAAGGCTTATTTGGTTCTAAATACCTGGTCCGGAATTAAAAACTCATTTTTTAATTGTATTTTTCTTGCTACACCAAATGACCTACACTCAATTGATTTGATCGTGTTTTTCCTTGTCCTTCCTTCTGTGGTCGAGTCGTACATTCCAAAAAAAAACCTATTGCATCATATTACCGAAGTCGAGTTCCTACTCAATTGTATTACCGAAGTCGACTTCCTACTCAAGCATTCCTATTCAGAAATTGAGTGTTGATCCTTCTTCTTTATATTCAGAAATCAATCATTCCTTCTTTGTCTTTAAAGATTCACGAATTCCTATATTGTCTAGTCATGGAAAATTGGGTTCCAAGTCAAGAAACTCAAGTAAAAATTTAAGCTTCATTATGTTAATCTATTGTGTATATTGCTATGGAATCATAAGCTTTTTTGCACCTTTGAAACAATTACCTATACTTTGCATTATTTTTAATTAAAATTTTTGTTTCTTTAAAAGATTTGTTATAGAATTATAATCTACAAAATTTATAAAAAAAATACAATGTTTATAATCATATTGTAAATGTTATTCAGGTAATTTGGATTACAGAATCATAAAACGGTTTACTCGGTTCTTTTCGGTTATATTAGACCATTAATCATCTTGTACATATTATTCGGGTTATTTGGGTAATAACTAGACCGGACCAATTAATACCCGAACTGAACCAAACTCGTATTGGTTATTTGGTCTGGTTTTTGGTTCATACAATTTCCTTTATTCGGTTTTCGGGTTCGGGTCAATTCGGTCAAGTTTCAAACCTGAATAACATCCCTAGTTTCAACTCGAAAATATATGTAAAAATTTTAAATTTTTTTTAGATAAATTGAACTGATCCAAATTCAACACTATATATAAAATAAAAATATTTGAAGCTGTTCCGTACACAACAATTTGTGTTTTAAAATGTTATATCATACAAAACATAAATTATTATGTATGAAGAAAAAATATTATGTATGAATCACTTCTTAAACATAATAGGTTGAGTTGCTTTGTGCTAAAAGATATAAACTTGTCTCAAACTTAACATTGGATTTCACAAAAGATTTCTTTGTCCGATTGAATTAGAATATTTGGTACATAGTAAAATTGTTTAGGGTCTTAATGTGAAAAATATGAAAGTTGAAGGACCAGACATTAGCGATTTGAAAAGCATGTAGTTGCGACCTGCTTGGAAGTTTGTAGCTTGTTGAGGGTGCTAATTTTAGTTACTTTTCCCGAACACTTTTCATATATAAATAAATATTTCAGAGTGTTTAAACTTTAAAAGATAAATTCATTTTACTCTTATCACTCATTTATTCTTATGTTTTTCTATATCGTCTCCAATAGGTTCTCTGTAGCTTTAGAGTTCTTGTTGAGTCTTTAGATCTTTAGTTCATTTTAGATCTTTAGGTCATTTGAAAACTATGCCAAAATTAAAAACGGGCTCCTAATAATATTTTTTATACAATCAAAAGTAATTGATAAGTCGATAATTGTGATAAAATTAATAAAAATAAAATTGTCAATAATCAACCATTAATTTGTAAGTAGTTCGTAACTAACCCGTTGCTAAACTAATTTACATTAAAAAAAATTATAGGCACCTAAATGACACGGGATGAGAGTGAGCATATAGTGAGGTTGTTTTGTAAATTGTTCTACATTAATGAAAAATACATTAATAGATTGTATTTTACATGTCTTTTCATTGTTATAAGTTTCATAAAATAATATATATCACAAATAAAAATATTTAAGTACACTTCTAGCTTTTTACCCAAAACTAATGAACTGAAGATGTATTTTGATGATATATAAACTACAAAAGATGAATATAAGAGAATATGTTTATGATGCAAAAATGGTGTAAAAGATGAATATAATGAGGGCATGGTATTTTTTAGAGGACAAAAATGGGCCTAACTCGCTGAATTAAACGTACATAATGCAGAAAAAAAAAAAAAACACAAGAAAATGATCACATAGAATCACACTATCACTCCTGTTGTTACAATAAAAGATGCTGTGATTCTTAACCCTAATTTAATAATATATTAAGAGCATTCTCAGTTAACTACTTGGGTCTCATCTTCACTGTAATCCTCATCTTCATCATCTCTCGTTGTGCCTGCATATGCTTCAAGTGACTCAGCTTTAAACAAATCACCAGCTTTTTTATCATTATCAGTTGGATCTTGTTCTTTTGTTTGTGTCTTTCCTTTGTTCATCTGTCACATAGCCATAAGAATAAGCATCAAGAACTCAAAATACATATCATTTTTCCTACAATTTTCTAGTTTTATCCAAAATAAGAAATCAAGATTTGTGTACAAGATTATCAGGATTAAAGAGAATTGGAATAGAAAAGGCAAAAAGAAACTTACAGCACGAATCAAGGATCTCTTGTCTCTCTCACGAGCATTACCAATGGCCTAAAACAAAACCAGGGTTTTAACGAATTAAAAAAACAAAAAAGATGATCAAACACACTCGTATGCGAAATGTTGAAGTTTAGAAATTAGAACAAACCGCTTGAAGCATCTTCTGTTCAGCTTCTACTTCAGTAATATCTCTGCAAGCAAGTTCATTGACGCTCAAATTAGTATATGTATATATATCATGGATGATACTCTTTTCTAAATGCAGTGAATTGATTTGATTTTGATTGCAACTTTTTGGATTTTCCAAATGATTTAAAACGGAAACCCTTTTTCATCATACATGTATCAAGAGAAATCTGAAAACGAAGAAATTCTCAAAACCTTCCAACGATTCTGTCAACGCGGCATGAACATTTAGCACATACGTTATGTTCCCTAGCACAAGCTGCAGATTATGTTACGATTCTTAGTGCAAAAAACACAGAAGAACACAAATTCAAATTCAAAAACTTGTTAATTATCAAGGACTAACCGTTACAGAGATTATGGTAAGCCTGACGAACAGCACGTTTGGTACATTTCTGACTGTTAAAAAAATCAATGAAAAGTGGAATCATCAATGAGAATTCGACATTGAGAAGTGAAAAGAGAACCGATTAAAACAGAGATTGTGTTAATTACCATTTGGCTGGTTCTGTTAGGGGTTTGTATTTGCCGTATTTGCGTTTCCATTCGATTTGATCTTTACACTTAGGGCAAACTCCGGTGATGTCAGATAAAGGCCTAAACCTTCCTCCGACTTCGGTTTCGTTAATTTTGACGCCGGCGTTGGGTTTCCAGGCGAACTTGTTGGCGTGTTTCGGCGGACCGGTACGCGGCCTGCTACTCATCCTGGCTTTCTGCATAAGAATGAATAACGAAGTGTTCTTAAACCTAGAAGAAAAGTTTAATTTAGCCCCTGTATTATTGTTTATGTGTAAAATTGGTACCTAGACCAAACAAACTTTTACAAATTTATTTTTAGATAATTTTGGAAAGACAAAATTGCAAATTTGGTTTCAATGGTTCGTTAAAAATTGTAACTTTAGTTTAATATTTTGAAGTTGCACCACCGATACAAAATGTTTCATTTGTTGTGATTTTTGTCCAATTTTTGTCCAATTTGTTATGATTTTTTTTAAATGAATACTTTTTTCTGTTTTCATTTTCTAGGGCTCTGCGAAGGTAGGGCTTCAAAACCGAAAAGATAAAATTTTAGGGCTTCTCGGGGGTCTTGGGATATGTTTCGGGTGCTAAAATTGATACCAGGGCTTCGGGAAAAGTCAAAATAAAGAAAATAAGGAAAAAGGGGCTAAAAGTGGCAAATTTCCAAAGTTAGTCGGAAAGGTTCGCAGCCCCCTTTATATAGGGCCGAGGCCGAAGTCGGTTTGGGAGGGCAGCAAGCAGCGAAGTAGCTCGGTGGCGTCACCAGCGAGGGGCAGGTGGCGCGAGAAGCGAAGGCCACGAGGCCTGCTGCGAGGCTCGGACGGATGGGTGACAAAGCAACTCGGTGGCTCGGCTCGCAAGTAAGCACGCGTCGGATCCGGATTGGCTCGCACATCGGTCCACTCAGCATGCGACATGCGATGCTTCTCGGATCGGCCACGTCTCTGGTGACGCTGCTGCTTCGTGCGAAGTGACGTGGCAGCGAGGAGGGTCTCCGGTGGATGTACTGTTCATGCGAAATTCTCGGATTTCGAGCCCCGAACTTCTAAAATCCATAACTTTCGCATACGAGCTCCGTTTTTGACGTTCTTTATATGCACGTGTAGCTAAAATTACGCTCTACAACTTTCGTTTAGACTTCGTTGGCTAATTTTGATTTTATTTTTAATATTATTATTTTTAGCAGACCGAGAAAGGAAAATCCGTTAAAAATTCATAACTTCTTCATCCGATATCCGTTTTCGTCAGACTTTTTACCATTGTACTAAAAATGATGAGACCTTTGATTCTCATTTAGGATGTATCGGTCAAATATCGCTCGATCTAAAATTCGAGTTTTTAGCTGTCTATTGCTAAGTTGAAACTTCGAAAAATCATAACTTTCTCATACGAAGTCAGGTTTTGGCGTTCTTTTTATTGAATTTCTCAGTTTAACGAATACTACGACTTTCATTTACATTACTAAGGCTAAAAAGTAGTTTATCAAAAACTTACTTTCTACGTCATTCGGCGCCGTACCGATTTTGTCGCGGATCTTCGGTTGGTCATAACTTCTTCGTTATAACTCGGATTTTGATGAGGTTTTTGCCTAAAAGTTTCTAACGAGATGATTTACAACATCAAATAATAAAATTTTACTTATTTAAAATTTTATATTTTCGCTAAATTTCACTATTTGACAATTAATTGGAGTCTCATAACACTTCCAATATTTTATGAGTGATTCTAAACATAGTTTTACTTCATTTCTAGTAAAAACTAGCTGTTAGAACTCAACACTTAATTTTATTCACTTTTAATAATAACAATACACAATTTCAGAACGTGTATGTTACAAATACCTCCTCCTTTTGAGGATTTCGTCCTTGAAATCATAACGATTAAAACAATTAGGGATACTTCACTCTTATTTCATTCTTATTTTTCCCAAGTATAATTTCGGCCTCGATGGTGTTTCCACTTGAGAAGCACAAACTTCAGTTCTTTATTATGTAGATTAGTCGTTCTTTCATTTACAATCTCTTCTACTTATTATCCAGTTTCACCTCGGATAATAGAACCATTTCATCATATATGCTTAACCTTTACACAGATAGCTCACATGAAACACTTCATGAATATCTGTCAAATCTTCAGGCAATTTCAAGCAGTATGCTTGCTTACCAACCGTTCTTTCTTCCAAAGTAGTATAACGTCTTTTCATGAAATACCTTCAGTATTACTAAATCATCCACCTGGAATTCTACGGGTCATCTTCTCTTTTCTTCATAGGGAATTTATTGATCTTGGGCCGCTTTCATTCTTTCTCGGAAAATTTGTATCTTGTTAGTGATGTCTTGAATCATTTCAGATCCTCTAAACATCTTCCGGCTTACGTCACTCCAACATATGACATTTACGCTCATACAATACTTTATATATCTTTAGTATATTTTCTACTGTTTAGATTGCTCTCTTCTTTTGACCATTTTTTCTGAGGATGATAAGTTGTACTAAGAGCAACTCGAGATCCTAATTCATGTGTCATTCTCTCCCAAAAGTGAGGAGTGAAACGAGTATCACAGTCGGAAATAATCTATAGTGGCGCATCATGACTTGCCACAATTTCGTCTAGGTAACTTACGCGTATTTCTCCACTGGAGTCGTTTCACGTGTGGCGAGAATATATGTACTCTTCATCATCCGGTCGATAATTATCCAAATGTTATCATTCACAGTTTTCTTCTCCTCTTTCAAGGTATTAACTGTATAAGCTGGATAAGATGAATATCCCTTCGACATAATTTATGAGTTTTTAAGAAAGAAATTTATTACTTTCACCGTAGACATAAATAGGATTTTCCCTTTTGATAGGGATGCATATCATCTCTTTCTAGATCAAGAGCTTTGCGTGGTTCTTTAACAAACAATCCATGTCGAGAATAATATCAAAGATAGGAATTAGGTTAGCAGGAAGGTTAGAACTTTCAATTCCTATAACACTAACTCTATAGGCTTTATCAGCAAGTAATGATATATTTCTTATGTTATCTATATGAAATGATTGGACAACTGCGTAACAAGCAATTTGAAAAGAATATGCAAATTTATAAGGCACGAAAGAATCTGAGGCATTGAAATCAAATAAGATGTGAGTAGATCTAGAGTTTACGAGAAAATTACTAGTCACAATATTTGAGTTTTTTTTTAAACTTACTTCCTTTGTGGTAATCTAAAATGTACGATATTTAGCTTTTAGTTTGCCAAACGATTGTCAAATTCTTCAAACTTCCTAATTACTGGCGGTGTTCAAATTTGCACCCGCTCTTCATTCTCTATTGAACATTCGATCCTAATCTTTGAGTTTGAGTTTTAACTCAAATGAAACTCCGGGACAAGATCGGATATGAGAACCTTGTTGCCGATCATCTAAGTCAGATCACTTCAAATGAAACTCCTCTCCTGTTGCGGGACGAGTTTCCGGATGAGCATCTCTTTTCCCTTACTCAATCTATTCCTTGGTATGCCGATATCGTTAACTTTTTGGTCACAAAGAGGTATCCCAAAACATTCACACATGCTAAAAAAGACAAGCTCAAAAGTGATGCAAAATACTATGTGTGGGATGAGCCTTATTTGTGGAAACATTGTCCTGATCAAATCATCAGGCGATGTGTACCCCAACAAGAGCACCAATCTATTTTGCAATTCTGTCATGAATTTGCTTGTGGGGGACACTTCGGACCTAGCCAAACCTTGAGAAAGGTTATTGAATGTGGACTATTTTGGCCGACCATGTCACGCGACTGTTACTTGTTTTGCAAAAGTTATGAACGGTGCCAAATGACAGGAAACATTTCGCCAAAGAACCAAATGCCCCAAAATCCAATCCTTGTTTGTGAAAATTTTGACGTATGGGGGATTGATTTCATGGTCCCATTTCCCGTCTCATTGGACAACGTTTATATTTTGCTCGTGGTTGACTATGTTTCTAAATGGGTTGAGGCCAAAGCCACAAGATCGGACGATACCAAAACGGTTATCAAAATTTTGAAGTCTAATGTTTTTGTAAGGTTTGGTGTACCTAGGGCGTTGATTAGTGATCGAGGGACGCATTTTTGTAACAAGATGATGGAGGCCTTGCTAAAAAAGTACAATGTGACCCATCATGTCTCTACCGCCTACCACCCTCAAACGAATGGTCAAGCAGAGGTATCGAATCGTGAAGTGGAGTCTATTCTAGAGAAAACAGTGAATCCGACAAGGAAGGATTGGAGTTTGAGACTTGACGATGCCTTATAGGCCTATCGGACCGCTTATAATACCCCGATAGGAATGTCGCCCTTCAGACTGGTTTTTGGAAAACCATGTCATCTTCCCGTCGAATTAGAGCACCGCGCATTTTGGGTGGTCAAGCAATGCAACTTCAACATTGACGAGGCGGGAAGGCATAAGAAACTTCAACTCCAAGAGCTAGAAGAATTGAGAAACGAATCCTATGAATACACAAGGATTTATAAGGAGAAAACGAAGCTCTTCCATGACAAGTCCATCACCCGGAAGCATTTTGAACCGGGGCATAGGGTCTTACTATACCATTCACGATTGAAGTTATTTCCAGGAAAGCTAAGGTCAAGATGGATTGGACCTTTTGTTGTGATAAAGACCTTTGACCATGGGGGGGGGGGGGGTAGAAATTCAAAGTGAAAAGACGAGACAAAATTTTAAAGTCAATGGGCACCGGTTGAAGCCATTCTATGAAGGTTTCAGTGCTAATACTCTTGAAATCATCCATTTGGATGTCCCGATGTGTTGAAGCAAGCCAGGAAGACGTCTTGCCAAAGACGTTAAAAAAGGGCATTTTTGGAAAGCAATGTGCTTTCACCTTTTTCAAATTCAAATAAATCATTTTTCAAAGCGTTTTTTTTTTGGGATTTTAAAAAATAAATTTTTGAAAGGTTTCACCATTCATTCCTCGTTTTGCTCCAAATTTTGTCAAAATTTTGAAATCGGACCTTACGGGGATCGTTTTGGCTTAAAAATCAAGTTTGATGGAAAATCTTAGTGTTTTGAAGTACAGGCCTACCCGCGGCCTGCGTGAGGAATAGCAAGGAATGGCCCGCAGCTCGCGTAGCTCACTGATCCAATTATCGTTTAGCACTCGCGGCCCTAGCCCCACCCGCGTGAAAGGTCAGGGAGTTCAGGAATTTTTCAGCAACTAGATGCGGCTAGCACGCAACCCGCACCTTGCCCGCGTGGATGTTCTAAACACTTAGAATTTTTTTTTGTGCCCATCAGTACCCGCAACCCGAGTTCAACCCATGTGTGGGATTAGAGAGCATCAGTACATTTTGAGCAAGTAGACGCGGCCAGCACGCGACCCGCACCCTGTCCGTGTGTTGGTCGTTTGACTGATTCTTTTGAGCTGTTGACTGCTTTGACTTTCGTTGACCAAGGGGTTTAATGAGTTGACCAACATTGACTCGGGTTTGACCTTTCTTGACCATAGATTAAACTCCTCCAGTACCCTTCTTCTTCATTCTAACCTAACAAACTCCCCCATTTTCTCTCTAGAAGCTTAAGAACTCCATAACCTACTTCTCACAAAAATCCATTTTCCCGGAGTTCTATCAGTCGGAATTTCATGAAGCCACCGCCATTCTTCACCATTTTTCATCCTCTACAAACTCCACCCAAATTCCGGTCCGATCTATGGTCGGAATTCTGGGCGCCACTACCACCCACCACTACCTCCTCGCGCGTTTTCCGGCCAACTCCGGCCACCATTGGAGATTCCGAGCATGGGGTTTTGTTTCTCTCCTCAAGGGCTTTCTAACCATACCAATCTTTCCGCAAAAACTCACGAAAAATTTCCGTCTAATTTCGGGTGCCACCACTCTAGTCGCCGGAAAGTAATCTTGAAGCTCGATTGTGGGGTTGTTTTTAGCGATTAAAGCGTCAAATATGGAGCAAAATTGTAAGCTTGGGGTGTGTCTTGACGAAATATTTTTGGTGGCACTAATTCATCCCGGGTCTAAGAAATTGGGTAATTTCATTCCTTTAACTTGATTATTTACATCCCAATTTCCCATTTGTTGTTGGTATTGTGTGCCTTTGTTGTGGCTTGAAAGTTATTATTGGTAAAATTTTGTCCCAAGTAAATGTCTAAACGTGCAAAAATGGGGACGGGGGCTACTTACCCTAAAGGAGTGTCGAAAGGAAAATCCAAGGATCCCCCGTTTCGTTTGTTGAATCGTGAGGACCGTAAAACTTTTGATTTTCTTGTTTCAAATAGGCGTCAAGTCAAGTCAACAAAATTCCTCCATAGGGAATCTTTTGCTAGTCTTGGGGTACTCGATGGAGTCCAAGCGTTATTTAACAACATCGGGTGGGGTCAATTCCTCTATAACCGCACCGCCACCTATGTTGAACCCACCTTGGAATTTCTTGCCACATTCAATCCCGAGGAGGAAGCCCAAACCATCACCTTCCAAATGCTCGGTGAGAAACGATCCTTACCGCATCGGGTCGTGAACGCCATGATAGGCACTCCAGTGGACAACCTATATTACCAACAAGACCCATGGTCTGGAAACTTCAATGAGCATCACTTTTGGCAACAAATTACCAACGAGCCACAATATTCATCGTCTTCGTCAAAGGCCTCCTCCATAATTCACCCATGTTTGCGCCTAGCGCATCGAGTTCTCACATGCACCATTTTCGCCCTCTCCGAAGTGGGACAAATTTCAAAGGCGAATTTATTTTTTCTTTGGTGCATGACTCGTGAGAACGGTCCACGGCCAGATTTTGCCTCCTTTTTTCTTCACCAAATGTTACAACCTCACAACTATGGACAAAGAAGACATTTTCATTGGGGGATTGATCACCCTCATTGAATCTCGGCCACCGCTTCAACTTCATCTCTCTACTCTTCCATTCGAGAAGGCTTCCAGCCCCTCTATCCTTGACGGCCACGCACTTCGCCGAATGCAACTCATCCGGGATTCGGTCGTCGTTCCCATGTGGATTCTTAACAACCAACCATATCTCATTCTCCCCCATGAGTATATAGGGAGTTTTGAGCCAACCAATCCCGAGCAATGGATCATTCCATCAGACTACCCTCCTCCTGTAGATGATGAGGATGACCAGTTTCAGCCTGCACAACAATTCGCCGAGCCTCAATTTCAGCCGCAGCAGCAGGGGGGACACGAAGTCCCACCATATTTCCCCCTTACGTTCTTTGAACAATTCGCCACAATGTTCTCCACGGTGCAGCGCATCGATACCCAAACACAAGAGAACACTCGAGCCATCCAGGATGTGGTGACCCATGTTGATCGGTTGGAGCAGTCCTTCCCGCCCACTTCCCGCCAGTTCCAAGATATGTGGGACTACCACTATCGCCACAGGCATTTCCCGCCGCCCGACCCTCCGATTTAGGTTCTTTCCGCCCTTTCCTTAAGCATTGAGGACAATGCTTGTTCTTAAGCTTGAGGTGGGGCATTTCCCTTATCTTTTACTTTTTCATGCATTTTTAACTAGGTTGCATAACATTTTAGTATTAAGCTAATTTTCATTCATTTTTTTTATTTATTTAAAATTCCAAAAAGATTTTATTTTCTTCTTTTTCACCTTTTATATTTTTGCATAACATTTAGCCTAAGGCATTAGCATTCATGCATTTTTGTTGTCTGTTTATTCTCATCTCTCTTGGATGCCATGGAACAGGTTCACAATTACTGTATCATTATTGGTTCAGGATCTTGTTGCTATCTCACCCATCGAACCGGGACCACTAGTTGCAGTTTGGGATTTCATACTTGGGATCAGATGCTGGTAGCTTAAAGGGGTAAGTGATCATGGCCAGGTAGTTTCATGAAGAATTATGCATACAATACTAACAACTGTAGGATATACTATAGCAATGGATGTTCTAAGCCTTGCGGTCACTACCGCTGAGAGGATCACACTTGATCATGTTTGAACTGTTAGGATGAAGCATTGGTGCTTGTCCCCGAGTAGAATCCATATCCGGTCTCTTTACATCTCCTTATCCTTTTTGCGATTTGTTAGGATTTTAGAGAGTCTTTTAGTCCACATCTGGACATTTTCATCTTCTTTGAAAAACCACAAGTTTGAAAAGGGGCTTACATTACATCTTTATGCTCCACACATGGTCATTTTCACACTTAGGCCATTCGGATTATATCACTACCCTTTCGGTTCCACTTTCACACTTTTAGGAACCTAATTTTAAGTCAAAGGGTTTCTTGTTAAAAATTTCGATTGTTAATACATTACCCTCAAATACGAATTAAAAAAAAACTAAAAAAAAACCGAAAATGGCAGGCAAATTTCTAGTTGCAACTATCTGAGACGGGTGACCGGTTCAATTAGTGAACAAATTTTCCAACATTTTGGTCACCCAAAATTTGATATTCATTTATATAGGCTTGTTTCATTGTATATAGATCGAATTGTTTTTTCGCAAATTGATGATGTTAGGGAGACTGTCGAGTCGAATACTACGGGAGGTTTGGGCCAACACTAAGTGAACTGATTCCTACAACGGTGCCCGAGCGATTAAACCCAATTACACATAAGAGAAACCGACAGATGAGAGATCAAAGTGTACACTTAAAGAAGAGCTCCACACGAGCCCGTCCAGCTGCTTTCTCCCTACTACAAATGATCTTCATTGTATGCATGTTCCAGTGGGGTTGCGACTGCTCATCCTCCTTACTCACCTAAAGGAGTTGTCATGGCTGTGGTTTATGGTCCCATTGTCATCGGATGAAAAAGTCATGAGGTAATAGCAAGATCAATTCTAACCATGTTGACTAACAGTGATCAGGTTCCGCGATTCTATCCATTATTTTTGTTTTCCTTAGGATAGTTCATCTCGAGTTCATTTTAGTCTTGTCTTACTTGAGGACAAGTAAGGTTTAAGCTTGGGGTGATTTGATAGCTTCATTTTATTTACTTTTTTTTTATAGTTTTTTAGCACATTGCATTTGCATTTTAGTTAATTTCCATGCATATTTTCCTTTTTGTTATTTTTATGACCATTTCGGGTACTTTCTAGTTTCTTGAACATTATTGCAGATTTTTTTGGAGACTAGCGGAGTGGGACTTTTTTGAAAGGCGATTGGACTTGAAGAGCAATGGGGATTTCGTGCTTGATGGTTGTGGAGGTGATTCATGGAGTGGGTTTGTCAATTGCTTGAAGGTGTGGAAGTGTTAAGCTTTAAATTTGAAAGGGCATGTGAGAACTCTTGGGTGTGCAAGATCGATATTTAGGAGTTTGCGGAAGTTTTGAGTGATTTGGAGAGACAAATTGGGCTCAAATTGAAGAAATATTGAAGAAAAATGGGCTAGGACCTGATTGGACTCGAACTGGGCCAATGGACTAGCTGTTGGGGCCCAAGATATGAAGGAACCCAAAAACTCGTCAAAGTCACGTGACCTGCGTAAGATTCCCCGTGGCCCGTGTGGATTCCTGACAAGGACAATTTTGGGATTTTACTAAGAGCACTATATTGGGAAGGTTGGTGTGCCTCTTCAGCCTTATCTTGGAGGTTCGAGTTTGACACTTTCTCTCTAGAGTTTGGAGCACTTTTGAAGGCCAAGAACACCTCAAGAATATCTTCTTTTCATCTCTTGATTCTTGTCAAATGTTTGGTATAATCTTATCTAACCTTGTTTTACTTGAGTTTAGCCATGCTTGGCCAAACAAATCTTGGTTGACTTTTGTTGAATCCTTTGAACTTTTGTTGAATATTGAAGAATCCATGAACTTGTTCTTAAATCTTTATGGAAATGTTTGTGTTTTAACATATTATTACTACTTGTATGTTTTAGTTCATGAGTTTAAATGTATTTGTGGTGATTAGTTGGCTAATTTCTTGATTAAGTAAAGGACCCTCAAATTAGCAAGCAACAAATGATTTTTGTGTTGTTTTTTCTTCACACAATCATAAAAACATTTCTTCCAACATGGTGGTGAAAGCAATTGACCTCTCTTGGATTTGGTGACTTTTTGGTTCTTAATGCTAGTTGACTTTCACTAATTACATGCTTAATGGAAATTGTGACTTTGACTAAGGAAATTGTTATGAGCTTCTCTAACCATTTTAACAACTAAGAAAATTCTAGGTAATCTCAAGCTTCTTGGATTACTATAGCCAAATTAAGGATTTAAATCAAGTATTGCATCATTGGATTCTAATGATATGTTCATCAAAAGTCAAAGTGAGGAAACCTTAAGTCAACCATCCTTCTCTTATTGATTTTACATCAAACTCTTATTTTTGCTAAAATTGTTTATTTAAATCTTAGTTTAATTATAGTTTATTTCAAGTTTTTCAAAATACCAAACCCCCCCTCCCCATTTAATTTATTGTCATTTTCAAGTATTTTTTTTACAAAGAGATTTTTCATAGAGTTATAAAATTGAACCAATCTCCGTGGATTCGATCCTTTTACCACTATACACTATTTTAGTGTGTAATATTTAAGGTTATTATTTTTGTTGGCCTCGACAACCACCAATCCATCCATCTCCACATCTTCCTCAAACACACACAAAGTCCTAAGTCTTGACTTGAAATTACCACCAGATAAAAAAATGGATATCACTGCAGCTATAGGGTTTTCGCCACTGGAGAAGTCGGGCAGAGAAAGACAGAGGTGCAACTAGAATGTGTTCGACGACTCCGACATATGGCGATCAATATCGTTCCATGTATTGACGTATCTACCCAGCTTTAGCCCTAAACCTCGTTGTATCTACCTAGATTTATCCCATACTAGACTCTAACACCTCTAGCGCTAGGGTTGATTTCTGGAGTGTATATATGTCTCTCAACCTCTTCGTATCTACCGAGATCTAGCCCAAACCCTAATCTTGATTCAAAAATTATCTTAACAATCGATATATGAAGATAAAATGATATTCGAAGGTAAGATGTCAATTTATAGAGTGTATGTTTGTGTTGTTTGGTTGTTCAAACATTATGTATTTCTAAGATTTATTTCCCTTGATTTATGGCTTTTGTGTGTTATCTCTAAGATGAAAATAAGAATAATAGTGGAAAATATGGGGTTTGTGTGTTACCTAATAATTCTTTAACTCGATTTCTAGGTTTTTTGTGACAACCGGCAAGCTTCTTGTCAAGTCAAAGTCAAGTCAAGGTCAACAAGTCAACCTGGTCAACTCAATTAGTGTTTATATGTTAGGGATTTCTTTATGTTAATAATGTACAACTATAAATCTTAATGCAAAGCAACACTTGAAAGTTCCAAATGTTCAAAATTAAAAACCTTAACCTGATTTAGGGAAGTAACAACTCTATAAAGTACTATTAAGTACCCTTTGGGGTGTATATCACTCAAAATGGGATGTAACTAAATCTAAAGTCCTTGCTCTATGAAGAAAAACATTAATAAAGGCTCCCGACAAAGTATTCTCAATCTCTCCCATTGGATCTCCCTCTCTCCCAAATCTCTCCAAGTATGTGAAATCTCTCCCAAATCTCTCCAAGTATGTGAAATCTCTTCCAAATCTATCGAAGTATGTGAAATCTCTCCCAAATCTCTCCAAGTATGTGAAATCTCTCCTAAATCTCTCCAAGTATGTGAAATCTCTCCCAAATCTCTCTATGTACCTTCCTCAGTCAAAAATAGCCCAAAACTGAAGAAGAAAACTCAAAAGGACCCTCTTGGTCTGGAATCCTCTTGGACCGGACTCCTCATGGTCCTGAACCTCTTGGTCCAAAACCCTCTTGGTCTGGAATGCCTTCTAAAGAACCAAGAGGACTCACAATCTCGGAACCCCTCTTGCATCGGGTAATCTCGCTCCGGATTAAGCCCCTCATCTGGACCACAACATTATGAAATCCTCATAATTGCCTTCAGAACTGTTACAACTAGGAATTTGAATGTTTGTAACAATAACAATTATATCAAATGTAAACCAACAATGTGAAATCATGTATGATGCTTATTCAATAACAACAAAACTTCAATCAAACACTTCATACAAGCACTGCAAATAGTCAACAAAGAATTGGAAACCCTAAAAATCCTGATTTAAGTCCATTTTTGACTAGGATTTCCTTATTGGGCCTAATGGGCCAATAAGCTTCCAATTTAACTATCTTGCGCTTAGAACTCTCAAATGGGATCTAATTGGACCAACTTCCATTTATTTTAATATTTTGGGCCATATTGGGCCTATAATGAAATAAAATACCTTAATGGATCGTATTGGGCCATAACTAACCTAATTAGCCCTAATGGGCAATAAAAATCATTTCTTGATTTATTTTGGGCCAAGAATCATCTAATTGAGCCATATTATGGATTAAACACCAAAGGCCCAAAAAAATTTCCTCCTCTTTCTCTAATTCTCGACCCAACCTCAAAGCATGAAGAAAGAA